CGTATGAGGAATGGGAGGGGGAGTTGAAATGGTTTGCAACTGGGAGGTGCAGTTGTTTATTGCGAACTGAGAGTAGGTGTTCTGCAAAGCGGTCCCCAAGCCTCAGCTTGGTTTCCCCGATGTAGAGGAGGCCACAACGGGAACAGCGGATGCAGTATACCACATTAGCAGATGTGCAGGTGAACATCTGCTTGACGTGGAAAGTCTTCTTGGGGCCTGTGATGGGGCTGAGGGAGGAGGTATGGGGACAGGTGTAGCACTTCCTGCAGTTGCAGGGAAAAGTGCCGGGTGTGGTGGGGCTGGAGGGGAGTGTGGAGCGGACAAGGGAGTCACGGAGAGAGTGGTCCCTCCGGAAAGCAGATAAGGGTGGGGAGGGAAAGATGTCTTTGGTGGTGGGGTCGGATTGCAGATGGCGGAAGTGTCGGAGGATGATGCGTTGGATCCGGAGGTTGGTGGGGTGGTACGTGAGGACGAGGGGGATTCTTTTTTGGTTCTTATTGCGTGGACGGGGTGTGAGGGATGAGTTGCGGGAAATGTGGGAGACACGGTTGAGGGCGTTCTCGACCACTGAGGGGGGGAAGTTACGGTCCTTGAAAAACGAGGACAACTGAGATGTACGGGAGTGGAATGCCTCAGACTGGGAGCAGATGCGGTGGAGGCGAAGGAATTGGGAATAGGGGATGGCAATTTTGCAGGAAGGTGGGTGGGAGGAGGTGTATTCTAGGTAGCTGTGGGAGTCGGTGGGCTTGAAATGGATATCGGTTTCTAGGTGGTTGCCCGAGATGGAGACAGAGAGGTCCAGGAAGGAGAGAGAGATATTAGAGATGGTCCAGGTAAACTTAAGGTTGGGGTGGAAGGTGTTGGTGAAGTGGATGAACTGTTCGAGCTCCTCGTGGGAGCACGAGGTGACGCCGATACAGTCATCGATGTAACGGAGGAAGAGGTGGGGTTTAGGGCCAGTGTAGGTACAGAAGAGGGATTGTTCCACATAACCTACAAAGAGGCAGGCGTAGCTTGGGCCCATGCGGGTACCCATGGCCACCCCCTTTGTAGGAAGTGGGAGGAATGGAAAGAGAAGTTGTTGAGGTTGAGGGTGAGGACGAGTTCGGCTAAGCAGATGAGGGTGTCAGTGGAGGGGGACTGGTCGGGCCTGCGGGACAGGAAGAAGTGGAGGGCCTTTAGGCCATCTGTATGGGGAATGCTGGTGTAGAGGGACTGGACATCCATGGTAAAGATGAGGTGTTGGGGACCAGGGAATTGGAAGTTCTGGAGGAGGTGGAGGGCGTGGGTGGTGTCACAGACATAGGTAGGGAGTTCCTGGACCAAGGGGGAGAAAATGGAGTCCAGATAGTTGGAGATAAGTTCGGTGGGGCAGGAGCAGGCGGAGACAATGGGTCAACCAGGGCATTCAGGTTTGTGGATTTTGGGAAGGAGATAGTGGCGGGCCGTGCGGGGTTGGGGAACGATGAGGTTGGAGGCCGTGGGTGGGAGGTCACCTGAGGTGATGAGGTTATGGATGGTTTGGGAGATGATGGTTTGGTGCTCGGGGGTGGGGTCATGTTCAAGGGGGCAATAGGAGGTGGTGTCAGAGAGTTGGCGTCTGGCCTCGGCGATGTAGAGGTCAGTGCGCCATACTACAACTGCACCTCCCTTGTCCACGGGTTTTATGGTGAGGTTGGGATTGGAGCGGAGGGCTGCACATTCTGCGGGGGAGAGGTTGGAGTGGGTGAGAGGGGTGGAGAGGTTGAGGCGATTGATGTCTTGACGGCAGTTGGAGATGAAGAGGTCAAGGGAGGGTAGGAGGCCTTGGGGTGGTGTCCAAGAGGAGGGGGTGTGTTGGAAGCGGGAGAAGGGGTCAGTAGAGAGAGGGTTAGGTTCACGGTTAAAGAAGTAAGCGTGGAGGCGGAGGCGGCGGAAAAACTGCTCTATGTCCAAACGTGAGCGATATTCGTTGATCTGTGGGTGGAGGGGGACAAAGGTGAGCCCTTTACTGAGGACTGACCGTTCGTCCTCAGTAAGGGGTAGGTCTGGGGGCGATGGTGAAGACTCGGCAGGGCTGGGGGTTGCTGTCTTCTCTGGAGCTGCTGGCTGTGGAGGCGGTGGGCGGAGCAACGTCGGCGTCGGCTGTGGGCAGAGTTGCGTTGGCAATAAGCTATTTTCTGAATAGGGAAAGGCTTCAGAAATCTGAAGCACAAAGGGACTTAGGAATCCTCGTTCAGGATTCAGTGGAGGTTAAAATGCAGGTTTAGTTGGCGGTTAGCAGGGCAAATGCAATGTTAGCATTCATTTCAAGAGGGCAAAAGCGTAAGAACAGGGATGTACTGCTGAAGCTGCATGAGGCTCTGGTCAGACTGCATTTGGAGTATTGTGAGTAGTTTTGGGCCCCTTATCTAAGGAAGGATGTACTGGTGATGGAGGGAGTCCAAGGAGGTTTGCAAGAATGAGCCTGGGGATGAAGAGCTTGTCATATGAGGAGGAGTGGTTGAGAACTCTGGTCTATACTTTGAGTTTAGAAGGCAGAGGGGGATCTCATTGAAACTTACAGAATATCTAGAGGCTTGGATAGAGTGAACGTGGAGATGTTTCCACTAGTAGGAAAGACTAGGACCTGAGGTCACAGTCTGAGAGTGAACGAACAATCCTTTAGAACTGAGATTTACCAGAGGGTGGTGAATCTGTCAAACTTATTGCCACAGAGGGCTGTGGAGGCCAAATCATTGAGTGTCTTTAAGACAAATAAGCAGGTTCTTAATTAGTTAGAGGATCAAGGGTTGCGGAGAGAAGGCAGAAGAATAGGATAGAGATACATATCTGCTGTGATTGAATGGCAGAGCAGACTTGATGGGCCGAAGGGCCTAATTCTGCTCCGATAACTTATGGTCTTCATCTGAGATATGGAGGAATTAATGGGAGGTTGTGAAAGTTAGGCATGGACTTATCGGAGTTTAGAAAAATATGAGGTGACTTCAATGGAGCATGTAAGATTCTGAGGGGACTTAACAGAGTAGATGCGGAGAGGTTCCTTAACCTTATGGGTGAATCCAGGATCAGGAACACAGTCCCAGAGGAAGGGCTCATCCATTTAACACAAAGATGAGGAATTTCTTCTCGAGCGTAGTAAATTTGTGCAATTCTTTACCATAGGGAGCAATCAAGGCTGGCTATTAAGAATATTCAAAGCTGAAATCGGCAGATATTTAATTAGTAAGGGAATCAAGGCTTATGGGGACAATGCTGGAAAGTGGAGTTGAGGATTATCAGATCAGCCATGATCTCATTAAGTGACTGAACAGGTTCAAGGGGCTGAATGGCCTACTTTGGTGATTCGTTTTATGGTCTTATAACTTTATACAGCATGATACACTCAATGCAATTGTAATAAATTTGATATCTAAAATATATGACAGGTAAACAACCTGAGGGCTACATATTTCAAATTAAAATTTATGGAAAATGTACGTTTTCAATACTCTTGATCTTCACAACTTTTTTTAAACAAGACACATAGCTCAAGGGTTCCTGCAGTTTTCAGCCTCTGAGTATTGAGACTGAAATGCTGTGGACAATGACCTTAGCCCACCACTTTGGTACCAGATGCCCCAAATTTTGGTGCATCCCTCAGCAGGTAGTCTGGTCCTTGGCATGTCCTAGTCTGCAACATTTGGACAAGGACAACTCCTTGCACCTGGAAGGTTCAGGCAAACAAAAGAGCTTTATGGCTGTCCAGATGCAGCTGCTGTTTGTCTCTGCGTGTGTACCTGAAAACAGCCCAAGGAGCATGAGAGTCTTGCAGCATGAGGCTGCTCAGATTGAATCTCAAGAAAAAAAAACTGCATTCCTCTCCAGACCTTCTTTCCAAAGGCACATTCCAGAATAGTTCTCTTCCCTGCCTTAGCCATGTTGAGGGCAATGTGCAGAGGGGTGAGACTTCAGACATGTAGGAAGGGTTTATGCCGGGAGCTTTCTCCCAACCAGCCAAGCTATGTCTTGCTGATTGAAAGTTCTGGTGTAGAGATGTTCCACCAAATTACTTTGATAATCTGCTCGGGCAACCATTCAACAGGATTTAGCATGTCCTTTTCCGTCAGGACCTTGAGGATGTGCTGACCACTGTCTACTGGACTAAAACTCAGTTTCTGCATCAACTTCTCCACGAACAACAGCTAATATGGTACAGTTCAATTACTTGGACCATTCCTCAGGCAATGAGGCCAGAACCATCCTTCACCACACTGGAGACTGGGGCATCCTCAGCACATAGTGACACTGGGTATCTGTGTCATGACGGCAGTGTTAGCTAAGAACATTGCCCCTGTTTTCAAGAGGTTTGTACGTTGTGTCCCTGCGGACACTGTCTATCCAGAGACTTCCAGATAAAATGCAAACTGGTTTGGGTGACGAGCATGGGGCCGGAGTGAGAAATGGGACAGAATTCTGCCACGTGCAGCACCACAGAGAGCACCTTCTACCCGATGAGCAGATTCTTAGCTGCAATGGAGAAGGAGCATTGTTCCCACACGTTCAGACAGTACTCCTGTATGTACCAGCCACTCTGAGAGAGGACCCCCATCACTGCTTTCTTCTGAAATTCTATACTTTTTATTAAAATGTGTAAACAATAACATTTCAATTTGAATATTACAGGAATATACATTCAGCCGCAGCATCCCTCCAGCAAAATTAAATGCATTTCACTTAAACCCATTCCCATAAATCACAATTACCATCTCCCTTTAAGATGGATGGATAATTTTCTTGAACTGGGGTTACCGTGGGTCACGGTGCAATAGGCCGCATTTACCATTGGCTCACGGTTACTGCGCAGCAGGGTTGTCATGGGGACACGGTTGCCATGGGACGAGGTTACCTTGAGGACACGGTAACCATGGGGCGGGATTATTATGGGGACACGGTTACCATGGGGCGGGGTTACCCTGGGGACGCGGTTGCCATGGAGCGGGGTTACCTTGGGGACGTGGTTGCCAAGGGGCGGGGTTACCATGGTCTTACGCCTTTGCTGATCACAGCGCGTAGCCCCGCCCCCTCCCTCTGGCCGGAGCCGAGAGTGCGCGGCCGCCCACCGGAGCTGAGGTAAAACCACCCGGTACGAGTCTAACCCCCACCCCACCGGTCACACCGCCTCTTCGGGGCGGTTATTACTCTCCCTGTGTGGGGTGGGGGTGGGGAGAGGTCATAACCCTGTCTTTCTCTGTGGTTGGTTGGGGGGGGGCCATAACCCCCTT